AATGATGTCAAAAATGTCAATCTTGGTGAGTGTCTAATACAGTCGGTTAATGCATGTGACAGTATAATGAACACAGGATCCGTGCACTAGCTCTTAAAGCGACAGCAGCCATGTGTGTCTGTCATTAATATTGTCGTCAAAACAACAAAAGATAGCTTTAATTATAAGGAATCTGGATTTATAGCCAATGTATTTAATTTAGTCAGGACTAAAATACTACCCAATGTTATTTTACATTTAATTACTTTAAGTGTCTGTAGTATTTCTGAATACTACTGCTAGACCTATTCAAAAACGTTTCTCTTTATTGGTAGGCTATATTTATTCTATTGTATTTATTTGTTTAAAATGATTTCAACGTAATGTAAAGAAATTACTTTGTTTGGTGCACATTCTAACACTTATTTAATTGAACTCTCATTGTTTTTTAATGACAAAAACGAAATAGTTTTTCAGTTATCACAACTGTGATAACACTGTTTATTCAATAAAGATATTACTGCTACTAAACTCTGCTCAAAAGAAATTTAAATTCCAAATTGATCCATATCGTGATACGTATCGTATCGTGGCTTTAGTATCGTGATGCGTATCGTATCGTGACATTGTTGGTGATACACAGCCCTACTAATTACCATATTTAAATTATTTAATTGGGGGAGGAGACTGGGTGGGGCGTTGTGCTCATGCATGTGCGCTCAATTTTACGTTAATTGGGATGTACAAAGAGAATATGCGTGGAATCCTTCGTACGCAGAGATTCATACATCTACTTTTTTTTGTGCGTACGCACATTTACAGCTTTGTCCGTACGCAATGTTTTAGTATGAATTCAACGCAAGTCTTTGTACATGAGGCCCCTGGACCGCTACCATCAACCAAACTCCGGAGGTCATTGTGTACGGTAACCATCAGACAGCAGCAGTTTACTTCATGGGAACAGAGCAAAAATAGTGCACTTGATTTAGACTAGTGTATACTGAACTCAATGTGACATCACAGACACGCCATGGCCCGGCTGTCACAATGAAAGTCCTGAAATATGACTGGCACTCCAAACACAATTAAACAAAAAAAATCTAATTTGAATAGGATGCCCAATCTTCTGGGGTTTTTTTCCCCATGTTTCTGTGATATGTTCGATTTCAAGTAGTTTTACTTTTCTTTGTACACTTTGTAAAGTGCAAATTGTGCTGAAGCGTCTGCTGCTGTCTGAATTTTCATCTTCTCTTTCCCTGATTTGCATAACAAAGCATCTGCTAGATGAATAATGTGTCGGAAGTGTTGGGATTACCAGTTCAACACATGAAACACTGGGAGAAGTTGTGTTTTCCAGAGGGAATCTCTTCATATTAGCTGAAACACGAGTGGCCAAGTGACGTTAGAAGAGCCGTCTTGATTTGAAACAAGGCAAAAACACTGATCATTAATACAGATAACATGTATAATTGTTACGAAGTGCTCCTAGACTTGGGTTGAAGATCCAAATGCAGCTTTATTGGGACAATCCAGAACTGTAATCCCTATAACAGGCCAAAGGTCAAACACACAGTCCACAATACAACTGGGCAGAAAGGACAGACAAAAGGGTAATCCAGAAAACTGGCAGAGAGTCAGAAAACCAGGACACAGGGAACCCGGATAACGCTCAGAATGGCAGCGTAATAGAAACACAAGATTTTATAAAGTAAGAGTTAATACACAGGGCTTAAACAGGCAAGAGTAAAGGAGAGAATAACAGTAATCTGAACAGGATTAGTCCAGCAGTGGGTTGTGGGAGTTGTGCTGTAGATAAAGCAGATGTAGAGAGCGCCCTCTGGTGGACATCATGGGATGGGACAGTAGTCTAGAGAGAGACAGTGGGTGGAAAGCAATGTTTTTCATCATTCTGAATTCAGATGTAGTTATTTGGGTTATTGTTCACAATACTTTTGTTTTGTTAATACTAAGTTGCGTTTCCAACATCAGTGTGTGGCGTATCGTAATAAATAACGAATGCCTGAGGTTCAAGAAGTCTCTTCTGCTCACAAAGGCTGCATTAATTTGATAAAAAAAGGAATATTGTGAAATATAATAACAATTCAAATCAGCTGTTTTCTATGTGAATATATAGTAAAGTGTAATTCATTTCTGTCATCAAAGCTGAATTTTCAGCATCATTACTCCAGTCTTCAGTGTCACATGATCCTTCAGAAATCACTCTAATATGAGGATTTGATGATCAAGAAACATTTATGATTATTCTCAATGTTGAAAACAGTTGTGTTTTCACTTTTCATGATTCTTTGATGAATAGAAAGATCAAAAGAACAGCATTTATCTGAAATAAAAACTTTAGTAACATTAAACACTACCGATCAAAAGTTTGGGGTTAGTATAATATATATATTACTGACCCCAAACTTTTGATCGTTAGTGTTTAATGTTACAAAAGATTCTATCATCGAATCCCAAACCAAGTCTAGAAGCTGGAAGGAGCACAATCTTTTTGGTGTTGAGCCTCAGCTCAACTTTCTCATGTGAAACAGAACAACATCTTAATGTCGAGATCTAAAATCAAGCAATCGTCGATATAATTCAACACACGGATGCCCTGGAGTCTCAGTGGAGCCAGAGCTGCATCCACTCATTTCGTAAAAGTGCGGGGTGATAAACCTAGGCTGAAGGTAAGAACCCGATATTGGTACACTTCGCCCCGAAAGCGAACCTCAGGAACTTCCTCTAATGAGAATGGATTCAAATCAGAGTTACTGAAAATCCTCGGACTGAATCTGTGACACAATCTGTTTGAGTGTAAGCATTTTTAACTTGAGTTTTAGAACCGTGCGGTTTAGTTGACGCAGGTCTAGAATAAGACGCAACCCTCCATCCTTTTTTGGAACAATGAAGTAACGGCTGTAAAACCCTGACTCCCCCTGCTGGGAGGAGGAACCCTTTCTATAGCCCCCTTTTGTAGAAGAGTCTTTGCTGCATAACCAGAGCCTGGGCGGACAAGAACCGCACTTTCTGTAAGTCTTTTCTATAGTGAGCAGGACCCAACGAGATATATTTGGCAGTAGTTTCCATGCTGCCAGAAAATCTGCTGAGGGGACCAGTCTCTCGAGACTGGCCTCTGGTATTGGTCGAACAGACACCTTGGCGCTCTGAAACGGCGAACCGGCAAGGAACAACCAAACTGGCAGCACTGCGGCCCTCCTCCTTGGATCTCCCCATAGAGGGCGCAGAGGAGAAACAGGCACAGTGCAATGAGGTGTAATCCGTTTCTCCCCGGAGGGGGCCACCCTCAGAAGTCTGACGGCCTCTGCGTCAGGACTTCTTCTTAGTCAAAGCCTTCTTCAAGATAATGACTGTCCTCAGATCTGTCTTATCCCAAGACGGCTGAGACTACTAAAGGAACTAGCCACTCGAGACTGGTCTCTAGTAAAGCTCAAGAAGCCAATCCAGCGTCCTGAAATGGGTGACGGGCAGGAAACAACCGAACTGACCTCTCTTAAATCCTCCTTCTGGGAGTCAGACACTGAGACTAAAACTCACTGGAGACCACTGCGCCCCGAAGCACACGAGGTTGTGAGGTTGGCAGAACGGCCCCTGAGGGCACCAAAGGGAGATGGGCACCGTATAATGAGGTGTTATGCATTTCCCCCCAGGAATTGCACCATTTATTTCCACAGAATAAATGCAGCCAAAGATCAACCAGACACGGTCAGACATCAACCTCCTCAAAGATCAGATGAGAGCATATTATTTAATTTTCTTACAAATTAAATGCAGCCAAATATCAACCATACAAGTAAACACGGTCTGGATGAAGGGGTAAATAATATATTAGTACAGACATCTAACTCTCAAAAATTAAGTGCAGCCAAATATCAACCAGACAAGTAGAAACGAACTAGGTGAAAGGCTGAATATAGTGTATTAATACCAGACATCCCAACCTGCAAGAAGTAATTTCAAGGAGGTATATCTTGGTGATTGGTTTGTTAACAGGGGGTTGGAGAGAGATAGATTGGTTTGTTGAATATATATATATATATATATATATATATATTGAGACCCATTATCTACACATTGCCTTGGCAAATGCGAGATGAGCCACTAGATTCATTAGATTCTTATTGCAAACCCGTAATCTACGTGCTGCCTCTGCAAACGCGAGATCCGGGCCAAAGAATCTTAATTGAATTTCTTCCTTCAAGAAGAAAGCTAACAGGACAGAGGTACAACTCTAAATAGTGCATATGTTACATTTATGAATGAGCACTGTCAGCCCCCTTTTACTAGAGCTGACCGTGCATGCTCCGCTCCACTCCCAAACAAACAAAACATAAATCGCGTGTGTCCCCACTCGTAATGAAGCGAGGGCAAGGACGAACACACGATCACAAAAAGCTGTTTGCTCGCCATTATACTCCTGTCTAGATATATAATATGCTTGAGGACAAACAACAATAAATAGACAGAGACTGTTTCACACAGAACGCTTGCTGAATACACAGAAGCTAGTGACTGTTTGTTCCAGGTATGCTTTATAGTTTCCTGGTCAATGACATCATCTTCCGTCACACCATTTGGACTGATTTCATAGGTGTTTCAAGACGCAATCACGCAGAGGCGTTCCCACAACATCTTGACGCAGCTCGAGTTCCCTTGAAAGGGTTTCCTTCCCCATTTAATAATAAATGTTTCTTGAGCATCAAATCATCATATTAGAATGATTTCTGAAGGATCATGTGACACTGAAGACTGGAGTAATGATATTGAAAATTCTGCTTTGATCACAGAAATAAATTACACTTAAAACAGCAGTTTTACATTGGAATAATATTTCACTATTTCGATCAAATAAATGCAGCCTTGGTGAGCAGAAGAGACAAGAGACATTAAAAAACTAACCGATCCCAAACTTTTGAATGGCAGTGTACATGTCAGATGTGTTTGTTGTTTGCTTCTATCAAAGCCTGTCTGCAGATGATCTGTGTGTGTTTGTGTGTTCGCAGGATGATTCCTCCCTCCAGTCAGGCGTTCCAGGTGTCCAGCCTGGTGTCGGGGTGTCGGTATGACCTGTGTGTGCTGGCGGCCTGGGACGACACCGCCTCCACGCTCACGGCCACCAGCGTGGTGGGCTGCGTGCGCTTCCACACCGGCGAAGGGCTCCCGCGGTGCCAGGCTCTGCACGGGCAGCTGCTGGGCGGCACCATGATCCTGGTGGTGGGAGGAGTGATCGTGGCCACGCTGCTGCTGTTCATCGGGATCCTCGTGCTGCGCTACAAGGCAGGAGATGGCGGGAGCGCTGAAGCTGAAGCTCCGGTCAGCAAGCTGAGCGACAGCACTGACTCCTACTCTCAGCCCAACGGAGGACGGCTGGGGCAGAATGGCGTTCCTCTGCTGCGGCCCAAACCCAAAGCGACCCTGCAGGACAGAGTGGTCCAGTTCAAGTCTGGTTCTCTGCAGAGCAGCTTGTCCTCCTCCTCTTCCTCCTCAGGTTCAGGAGACGCTCCTCCCTACAGCCCCAACAGTACCCTCGCCAGCATCCTGAGGGCCGCTCCGCCCAGACCCCGGCACAACCTGGACCAGCTGTTGGGGGCCTTCACATCTGTTGAGCTGCGGGGCCCGTCCTCGGAGCCGCTCCCATCTGGAGGCCCTGCTCCTACTCTCCCGGCGGTGGAGCCTACGGACCGGGAGCCGCTGCTGGGCCGGACTCTGGACTCACGGATCAGCAGGTTACTCACATCGCCTCTGGCCTCCAGACCCCGGAGGAGCCACTCATTCGACACCGGTGACTTCACCGTGTCCCGCGCACAGCAGCTGCGCACGTACCCGCGGCGGATCAGCAGCATCTGGAGCAAACGCAGTCTGTCAGTGAACGGCATGCTGCTGCGCTGTGACGAGAACGGGGACGGGGACAGCAGCGGGAGAAAAGGCTCCAGCGGGAGCGCAGACTGGGTCATGGAGAGCACTGTATAGGGCGGACCAACAAGCAGAGACTGGGTCATAGGGGACCCTGTATAGGGCTTATCCTACGAGCACAGACTGGGTCATGGAGAGCACTGCATAGGGCTGATCCTACGAGCGCAGACTGGGTCATTGGGAGTACTGTATAGGGCTGATCCTACGAGCGCAGACTGGGTCAAGGAGAGCACTGTATAGGGCTGATCCTACGAGCACAGACTGGGTCATGGGGAGCACTGTACAGGGCTGATCCTACGAGCGCAGACTGGGGGTCATGGGGAGCACTGTATAGGGCTGATCCTACGAGCGCAAACTGGGTCATGGGGAGCACTGTATAGGGCTGATCCTACAAGCGCAGACTGGGTCATGGGGAGCACTGTATAGGACTGATCCTACAAGCGCAGACTGGGTCATGGGGAGCACTGTACAGGGCTGATCCTACAAGCGCAGACTGGGTCATGGGGAGCACTGTATAGGGCTGATCCCACGAGTGCAGACTGGGTCATGGGGAGCACTGTATAGGGCTGATCCTACAAGCGCAGACTGGGTCATGGGGAGCACTGTATAGGGCTGATCCTACGAGCACAGACTGGGTCATGGGGAGCACTGTATAGGGCTGATCCTACGAGCGCAGACTGGGTCATGGGGAGCACTGTATAGGGCTGATCCCACGAGTGCAGACTGGGTCATGGGGAGCACTGTATAGGGCTGATCCTACGAGCGCAGACTGGGTCATGGGGAGCACTCTATAGGGCTGATCCTACAAGCGCAGACTGGGTCATGGGGAGCACTGTATAGGGCTGATCCCACGAGTGCAGACTGGGTCATGGGGAGCACTGTATAGGGCTGATCCTACGAGCGCAGACTGGGTCATGGGGAGCACTCTATAGGGCTGATCCTACAAGCGCAGACTGGGTCATGGGGAGCACTGTATAGGGCTGATCCCACGAGCACAGACTGGGTCATGGGGAGCACTGTATAGGGCTGATCCCACGAGTGCAGACTGGGTCATGGAGAGCACTGTATAGGGCTGATCCTTCGAGCGCAGACTGGGTCATGGGGAGCACTGTATAGGGCTGATCCTACGAGCGCAAACTGGGTCATGGGGAGCACTGTATAGGGCTGATCCCACGAGTGCAGACTGGGTCATGGGGAGCACTGTATAGGGCTGATCCTACGAGCGCAGACTGGGTCATGGGGAGCACTGTATAGGGCTGATCCCACGAGTGCAGACTGGGTCATGGAGAGCACTGTATAGGGCTGATCCTTCGAGCGCAGACTGGGTCATGGGGAGCACTGTATAGGGCTGATCCTACGAGCGCAAACTGGGTCATGGGGAGCACTGTATAGGGCTGATCCCACGAGTGCAGACTGGGTCATGGGGAGCACTGTATAGGGCTGATCCCACGAGTGCAGACTGGGTCATGGAGAGCACTGTATAGGGCTGATCCTTCGAGCGCAGACTGGGTCATGGGGAGCACTGTATAGGGCTGATCCTACGAGCGCAAACTGGGTCATGGGGAGCACTGTATAGGGCTGATCCTACGAGCGCAGACTGGGTCATGGGGAGCACTGTATAGGGCTGATCCTACAAGCGCAGACTGGGTCATGGGGAGCACTGTATAGGGCTGATCCCACGAGTGCAGACTGGGTCATGGGGAGCACTGTATAGGGCTGATCCTACAAGCGCAGACTGGGTCATGGAGAGCACTGTATAGGGCTGAACCTACGCCCCATACACTGCAGGACATCATCATTATTACTGTTACTCGCCTTGCCATATTCAGAACAGGGGAAGAGTCAGGGGGAATTCACCAAACAATCTAGAATGTTATTTGTGACCCTGGACCACAAAATCAGTCAAGTCGCACGGGTATATTTGTGGCAATAGCCAACAATACATTATATGGGGCAAAATTATTGATTTTTCTTTTATGCAAAAAATCATTAGGATATTAAGTGAAAATTATGTTCCATGAGGATATTTTGTAAATTTCCAACCATAAATATATATTAAAAAAAGTTATTTTTGTGAGTGGATGCAGCAATATCGAGGACTTCATTTGGACAGCTTTAAAGGCGATTTTCTCAATATTTAGATTTTTTTGCACCCTCAGAATCTAGATTTTCAAATAGTATTATCTCGGCCAAATATTGTCCTATCCTAACAAACCATACATCAATGGAAAGGTTTTGTACTCCAGGGTCCCATATTTCAGTACAAAAAAAAACCTGAATCTTGCAAATCATGCAAATCATCTAGTTTTCAGCTAAACACGTCTATTTTCTCAGTAAAGTACGCTTGTTTTAGATTGCGCCTTTAAACCCGTGCTCATCAGGGATGATCACTATAATGATACGGTTTTAAAGAAATGATCTACATATAAAGATAAGCAGAGTCCACATCATAACGGTACCGTTCTTCTGTTATTTTTATCGCTGGAATCACTTTCAGAACAATTTTTTCAGCTGATGCAGTATAAAAACATTGACAGCCAATCAGAATCCATCCTGCTTTAACAAGCTCAAGCATTTAAAGCGACAGATGCTAAACTGCAGCATGTGTGTAATGAACGGAGTGATATCGTGAGTTAGTGTGGACTCTGATACAGTTATCATTATCTTTATAGTCATTGTTCTCAGTAGGGGTGTAACGGTTCAAAAAATTCACGGTTCGGTTCGATACGATACACTTGTGTCACGGTTCGGTACGTTTTCGATACAGCAAAAAGAAAGAAATGCCAGAGAAATTTCTTTGATTTAATTTTTTTAATGATATTTTTATTAAAACTAACATCATAAAGTATGATATTTTTTTACTTTGAGCAACGATGGAGCAAAACAGCGAAACAGAATATACAAAACAGCTCCTTGGACAAAATGAAATGTAATATTGTAGTAGTTATAAACAAAGGTTTATTTTAGTTCAGATTAACATTTGAGGGCAGCAATTGTATTCATATTGTCAAAATAAAACCGACGTAATGTTACTTGAAAGCATTATAGCCTACTATTCCTGCCAACCTTCCATGGTTACAGTTAGTAGTGTTACTACAGTTACTACAGTAAACCCATGGTGAATGTGCTGATCTGTGGACACTGGATAGTTCATTCATGGCACAATGTTTGTCCTGGTTTCCACGTCAGCGCTGTTTGATCCGTTAATAACGAGGAAATGTGAATGTTTCTCACTAGATCTCGCAGCGATGTTATTACTTCAGTGGCGAACTCAAATGTTTTCTTTACTGGATTTGGCTGTGTAGTGACAGTGCTGATGATTAAGATCGGCTCGCGCTGCTTTGGTCCTGATAAACGGTCCGTCAACCACACAATAACGAGTAGCTCAGTTTCGTTCCGCTTACATTACATTTGCCATTTGATGTTGGGCAATGTTGTGGTCACGCCAGCGTCTCTTACATTATGAGCACGCTTGCCACGCGCGACGCGCCTACATTTGAAATAACGAAATTTTGGTCAGCAGGAAAAATGGTCCAACGAACCGAACGGTTCAATACGAATACGTGTATCGTTACACCCCTAGTTCTCAGTGTGAACGGGCCTTCATTCATAAATTGGCCTGGTGAAGTTACTGTCGCACTATTCCTGCGTCCAGATGTTTATTCAGAAGAGATGATTCTGTATCGCTGCAGTTCTTCATCAAATGGAGAAGAGCATTATAACAGATGGTGCGGTTGAGGGCTTTCAGAGCGGATTCAATGTGATTCAGTTATCGTTACATTACCTGCGTCATGCCTTCTGAGTGAATTCCTCCTCAGCTGGCTGTGCTGATTCACTGGTGTGAGTGTGTGTGTGTGTGCATGTCATCTTTATGTCTTATTAGGGTCTGAAACTATGGGATGGGTTGGACTATAAACTCTAGTGCTACTGCCGTTCTCTAGGCTGGTATGAGAACTGATGAACACAGACTGAGGAAATGAATTTGCCATACCAATGGTTTCCCTGAAGAGCAGCATAAAGACTCTGTGAATATCTTCTTGTAAAGTTTTATATTTTTTATCTTGTTGGTCAAACGCTCCTCTTTCTTGATGAAAGAGAACTGAAATGCATTCATCTCATCCTCACTCTCTTCCAGCTCTCTCGTTTACTCGTTTTTCCCTATGAGAAATCATGTGTGCAATTTCAATGAATCTTCAAATATTTGAAGCTGGTTGTTTACATGTGATGTTTTTCTATATTTATGTATTTACAAAGGTGATGGAACGACATGAGACATTAGTAATGAAAAATGACTGAAAACATAGCTGTTGTGTTATTTTGAGTCACTTTACAAAGACAACCAACTGCATTTCTTGTGATTTAAAGCAAGGCCAGTCCAGCGGTTCTCCAACAGGGTCTGCAGTTCACTGACCTCCAACTGTGCCATGGGATCACTTTAAAGATTTAACACCTCCCAAATAACTATTGTGTATAATGAAGAGCATCCAGTCATTCACACACTGTTGGTCGGCCTCGAGGACCACTGGCCATCCCGTCCAACACAGCTGGAGAAAACAGATTTGCTTTCCACATTGAAACATCATTCTGGGTTCAGTGTTATCTGTTCTGCTTCACATGATTCACACACAGTTCAGTAACAGGAGTGACACCGTATCACACATCCCAGATCATTCCTGAAGGATTCAGTGCGTGTACATCAGGAGTTCAGCTTGTCTGAGAAACAGAGGTATGTGTCCAGTGTCCGAGTTTAGTAGTTTCATGAAATTAAACACAAATAACCCTGAAACATCCCACACTGATAGCACTGTAGTGATACGAGTCAGAAACTAAACGAATCTGAAAAAGCATCCCAGCAAACTCTGATGGCTTCAGGTTTGTGTGCCGCTTACCCTTTTATTTTGTAATGAATTTCATTTTTGTTTGCAGCCGTATCTATTGTGTGATCTGCCGACTGCAGCAGTTATAAGCCGAACCGTGACGGCTGACAGTGACGTTACAACAGAATCTCACATTATGGCATAAAGTATACAGATCTGAAATCATGCTAGTTAATTTTG